CTTGCTGTAGGGGCCCTGCTGGACAAACTTGAGGTTGAGCGCATCGCCGCTGGTGGTGGCGCCGTAGGTGCCGGAGTAGTCGGCTCCGTCCAAGCAGCACTTGGAGGCACAGTCCTCGCCGGTGGTGCAGATGGAGGTGTCCCATTTATTGCCTGTGTAGCAGTTGGTGCTGCCGTCGGTCTTGTGAGTCCAGCGCCAGTTGGCATCCACGGTGACGGATCCGTCGACCTTGGTGCAGGCGCCGCCGGCCGCGCAGTTGGACCAGGTAAGCGCAGGCTTGGTCTCCGCGTTGAGCGTGCAGACCTGCTGCGCGCGAACAGCGGCCACGAGGGCCGTGAGGGCAGAAACCTTGGTCAACATGGTGGTGATGAGATATCTTCGGACGTCAAGTCGGTAAAGAACGGATGAGAGAAAAGAGTGTGTAGAGATGATCAGACGGGTCTGAACATGTAAAGAATGAATTGAAATGCCGGAAAAGAATGTCGCGAGTGGCTTGGGATGAGGAGACGAAAGCCAAAATGTGCGGATGGCCTCGGAGACATTATATAGACTCTCACATACTGTTTCGATCTCCCGTTCAAGGTTAAACTATCATGAGATGGTTGCGCTTAGCCCCTCCTCTTTCCACTTCCTTCCAAACTGCTTAATTTCCGTCCAGGGGCTTGGGAGCTCCTGCGAGCGGCTCGGAGTGAGTCGTGATGCATTCAATTGGGAACAGTAACCCGGGATGCATCGATCATTGGAGAGTTGATGATTGTCTAGTGGGCCTGGATAGGCAAGATCGGATGTCTTCCCGCCTTGCCTAAGTCTGTAATGAGTGGCCCAGGGCAGGTGGGATTGGACGAACGTGGTCAGAGTCCATTACTTGGAGACTCAGAGAGACCAAGGCAGACCAAGCCTGCTGGGCGAAGCTTGATCCGGGAGGGGCGCAACTTGGCTCTCTTGGTTCTCTTGTGGCAGCCGTCTGCAACATATTGATTAATTACCACAAGGTCCAAAGGGCTGGTGACGCGGGGATGGGGAGTCGGTTGAGCGAGTTAGCACAGCACATGTTTGCCGCAACCCGTCGTAAGGTGACATCGTGGGTCTTCTCCGCAAAGTCAAGCAAAGCCAAGTTGGGATCTATGCAAGGGGCACCCGGGCGGAATATCTCCCACCGCTCTCCGTTTGGGAGAAGCGTCTCCATGCGATTGGACGAGTAATATCCGCGGCCCCTGCTTGCACCGGAGGACACGGCATTTATTGAGCATTACCGAAGCTACTGATGCGGGTGTGACGGCGTCAACTTACCCCAACAATCAACTTATGTGCGGCACTGGTAGTGCTAGTCTCAGTTAGACTAGCAAGCGTGGCAAGTTATCGATGAAGAGTTGCTTGTTCGGCAAACTGGCGTGGGGAGAAAATTTCCAACCCCAGCTCAACAGCAATATGTTCTAGTTTGCTCCGTCCGCTCTGCGATTAATAGTGTATGCCTCAATCTCTCTCACTAGGAACTCGGCCCATCATCGTGCACAGTCACCAACGTGGGGTACTGAACCGCCGACATCCGGTCAAAGTTGACAATGCCCTTGGGTCTTGGCCCACCACTTTTAGATTCAACCGCAACGAAATGTAACCAGACCTTGACCGTTATGCTTGCAGCTGCGCCTAAGGAATCACTATGTCTGACGAGGAAACAGAGTTGAGTTCTCTTTATCCCATTCCTCAATCTTCCCCCTTAGTCTAATTTACTTTTTGGCCCCCTTTTCCTAGTCAGGACATGCCTGTTTCGCGGCTTCATACTGCCGGGAGTGGGGCCGTGGGCCCACGGAGCATCGAGCGGAATGACGGACCGTCAAGAACAGTCCACCTATCGGAGTCACTCAGCCGAGTGCGGTCCTGGTCTTCTCCCGAGTACGGCGCTGCTCAGTTGAGGTCTACGGATTCATTACGTAGTTAATGCGACTCTAGATACCCATATCTTCAATCTCTATCTCGTGCAAAAGTCCTATGGTTTCTCCAAATTTCGGGCCCTGGGAATCTAATGCATGCAGAAACCCTTGAGAGCGCTAATATTGTTGATTGCATGTTACGGAGGGTATTGTACCGCACTCTTGGATTGTCAATGATCAGCCTCAATCACCTTTACCCGCCTCTAGCGCGCCTCCGGTGTGAATGCCGAAGCTTTGCGGCTCCGTGTCTGACGGCTTGGCTTCATCTTGGTCATGAGAGAAGGTCCATGCTCGCGTTGCCATCCAAAAGAGAAATTAGCTCGGAGATGGTATGCTCGGTCTCCACTCACCAACGGCTTGGGATCTCGGAGCCGAAATGCAAAGTCATTCAGACGTAGTCCCATTTTGGCATGGATATCGCATCGTCTCAAGGAAATAGATCTTGAACTATACACTAACGGAGCGTCAAGTCGCACGGTCAAGCGGCTTTGGGTTAAATGTTGGTGAATAGCGAGCATCATTAAGCTTCGTCCCACACTATCTGAACGTCGAGCCGGCAACTCGGGTGGAAAACTAGTAGCAACTCTAGGTCACGGATGCTACCGCGCCGTTGGAACTATGATTCAGTGAGGAGATGAAGCTTATCGAAAATAGACTGTTCAAAATGTTGGGTAGTGCTGCAGTCCATGAGAATATGAGTATGGTGATCTAAGCCTCTTCCACAAAGTATGACATCAGCAACGTTCTGAGCTTATCAGGTAGGAAGATAAGACTTGCCACAGTCGCGGACCCCGCGATGAAGGTCTAGGCTCGAGACTTTATATCCTGATCCAAATTCGACTTGAGGGGGCGAGCGCAAGCTGAAGAGAGACCCATCAAGAGAGCAAGTCTGGCCAACGAAACATCCCTCTTTGTCAGTTCCTTGTCAGGCTGCGCGTTGAAAGTCAATTTTAAGATCGGCCGTTTGTTTCGTCAGAGAAAACCCCCGACTCTTGATTGCACCACCCACTGTAATGGTGCAAGCCCAATGAGTCAAGGTTGACGTTCAGAAACAGAACGGACAATCATGCTCAGCAAATCAAACGAGCAGGAAAGGTTGGTGTGCAGTGCAGTCGTGACTGACTCTCTCATCTCACCGGGATCTACTGTGCATCCTTCGTCGATGAACTACCGATTGGACTATATGAGCAGACGAGGGGACAAAGTTTTGCAACCGTTAGGTTTCCCCAGTCTGTCGTCGAAACGGTTGAAACCATGACTGATAGAACAGACGCCGAGCGATCACCGACCATCAACCAAGTTTTTGGTTCTACATTGATGGGATTCAGCAACAACGAGACGATTCTTGCGATGCGTGAGCGACAGAAATCTGCGTGATCTTCTCAGCAACTTGCAGTTCTTCAATTCATAGTAAATGTGAATATCAATAATGTGGAAGAATGCATTTAGGTCATTATTGACTCTCAATCATATGCAAGGTACCAACAAACTCTATATCAAATGCAGACGGACTAGTCCATACAACACACTTGACACGGAAACTTTCAATGCAACTAACGACGGTAACGAAATTCAAAAGGTAGTGATAACTAAGCTTTCGAGGTTACTCAAGTTTGGCAGTCCCTCCCAGTGTCCACTGAGCCGGACTCACTGAGGGGGATCTCCATGCTTTCCCCCGCGAGCTAACGCAGGTCCTGAGGATAATGTCCAGACTCATCGCTGAAGCCAAGAGATCCAAACCCGCTTGTAAGGCTTAGCATATTGCAATAGTCAAACCTAGCGGAAACGTCGCAGACGCAGCGCTTCCCCTCGAATCACATAAGTGGAATCATTGGCATACACACGTAGATCAATCACTTGCGGAGGGAAAGTCTGATTATATGCACTGCCAAGAACAACACCCACACCAACACACAGTCATGGGTTATCGTTCGTTAAGAGGGGTTCTTAGAATTCATGGTATGCAATATGAAGCCGCACGCTTTTCCGTGCCTTAAACTCCCCGGTCGAAACATTGCGGATACCTACATCGCACTTTGGAACATCTCTTGTGGCGGACCATTTGTCTGACATTCTTTCCTATCACTCTGCAAAAAGGGAAATAATAGGAAACCGGAAGTAAGTGAACACTGAACGCTTTGTTCCTTCTGACCTGCCTTGCTTGTATCAGCACCCGCGGTATTGCCACATGCTTGTAGCGTTGAACCCGCCGCCTCGCATTCCCAACTGAGCAACTGCATGTCTCCCCAATCGTACGACCATGCGCCTGGTCTTATCCGGCCGGCCCTGCATCGCTGACTATCCGTAGCATCTGTGCGTTTCAGCACGGGACTCTTCGAACACGGCGTGGTTAATGGGGTGGGAGGCACAGCAGGGAAATAACGGGCTATGGTTTTTTTAACACCGGGCGAAGGGAAAAAAAGACTCTTGGAACTCCACCACGTCGGTTTCAGGAACGCAAAGTCAAGTCTTTTTTAGGATGCACAGCTCGGCTGCATGCCCCGGCCTACTGCATACTGGCAAAAACACCCGAGTGAACGCGGAAAGAGGAAATTCTGCCTCTGTGCGAGCGTCTCGGATTCGTCGTCATTGCCAGATTTGGTTGGGATTCGGCGGTTTGCTGTCAAGTCCCCTTTCACCATCATGTTAGTGTTGTTCAGTTGTCACCATCAAATTATTGCAACGGAGCACAGCAGACGATTTGACATCAAATCATGGCTATGAATTTTTTTTATAATGTGTACACACAAGTAAAGAGTAAAAAAAAGATGTATTGGGTGTAAGAAAAAAGACTCGCAACCGCTCTCCAGGTCTCCGCAAAGCAAAGCAAAGTAAAGTTTGCTGCTTTCGCCCTTCTTCCCAAGATTTGAGTTCGCCGCGGTTTTGTGTGTCTCTGTGCGCTCACTCAACAAAGAGGATTGTACTTGTAGAGACTTTGTATTAGGAGGGAAAACCACAATCTTTTTGACGATTACCACGTGAAAAAAGGGAAAGAATTGGCTCAGAGCGTTCGTCTACCGTCAGCTAGCAAAGAAGCTGAAACTTCTCTCAATTCTAAGAAGATCCCCTTCATGGCATGACCTCAGGCTGGAAGTCGGCACCGGGCACGACGTAGCGCTTGGCCCATCGAAGGGATCCGCTCTCCTCACGCTTGGCGGCTCTGCCACGCTTGCCAGCCCGGCCCTTGCCGCGTGCACGTCCGTTGCCACCGGCGTTTCCGGCATTGCCGGCGTTACCACCGTTGTTTCCAGTGTTTGCGTTACCGTTGCCAGCGTTGGCGTTGCCGGCGTTGGGGTCAGCGGCAGGGGGAGCAGCAGCGGTGTTGCCTCCGGTCTGGCTGGGGCCGGTGTTCTCGACGGGGAACTCCTTGACGGTGACGGGGGGAGCGCCCAAGACCTTATTGGCGGCGTCAGTGGCGGCCAGCTGTTCGGGGGTTCCGTCCTTTTGGTTGGCGGCAGCGGCGGCGGGGAAGTCCTGAATATCCTGCTGAACCTGCGAGAGAACACCCTTCAACTTGGCGGCGGTCTGAATGTTCTGGGGAGTGTTCTGAGTAGGAGTGACATCGGTCTGCTGGACGGGGAAGCAGCCACCAAATGGTCCGGCGACGGCGTTGTTACGGCAGCGGACAGTGCAGACGTTTCCGGTAGAGGCTGTGAAAGTCATATTAGTTTTGATATCAGGTTGACGATTCGGCGTGTTCAACTAACCTCCAGTGCACTTCATGTCAGCGGGCATCTTGACAGTGACGTTGAACTGCTGAGCCTTTGCCTGGGAGAAACCGTTGGTGCCGGGAACATTGTTGGTGACCTCGAGAGGAATCTGGCCGGTGCCGGCGAGCGAGTTGCTCGTCTGATCCAAATCACATGAGAAGGGACCAGCACCGTCGGCGTTGACCTGGTGGATAGTGACTGTGACCGTGCCGCCCGCCTTAACCTGCGTGACCTGGTTCGCTGCCAGGGCGTTTTCGGTATTCTCGCCAATGTCGATGTTGCCAGCAATCTCAGTGCGTCCGCACTCGTTGACGACGTTGTTGTTGATCTCGGCATCGCGAATGATCGTGGCGTCCTGCTGGCAGGGGTTGATCGTCGTGCAGTTACGGGCAATGTTCGGGTCGACTGGATATTAGGGTTAGTATCAAAGATCGTGATATCCTCTTCCCGCTCGTTCCCCTTTTGCGCAAAACATACCCAGGAACCCGACACTAGCAGGTGAGCCGGCGTCTCCCTGAGCACCGAGAATGGCAGCGTGGCCATGGGCAACGGCCAGGAAGGCCGAGCCGATTACAATATCCGTGAAAGAAAGCATCTTGTCTCGCAGAGACTAAGTCGGAATGTGCCAGCACGATTAAAGGAACGAAGTGAAGGGAGAAGTGAAAAGAGAAGGAAAAACGGAAAAGCCCGGTGAAAGAGCGTAGGCGCAGAGGAGGATAATATGATGTGTGGGTAGAGAGAAGGGGAAGGGAAACTTAAACACGAGACGAGGCCGTGAAAAGGTCGTCTTATACGAAGGCTCGCGGTCAAGGACCGAAACGACGCAAACACTGCCAAACGTCGACCTGCCCATGATGTACGCTGATCTGCTCAGATCATCTGCAACACCTCTTGTCGCAAGGCTGTGGTGCTGGGCGGAGTCGCGACCTAACCCTGAACCCGACGTATCTTGGCAGATGGAGGGTAGGGGACTGAAGGGGGTGGTGGTGGTGTGTGGTAGGGGGAGAAAGGGACGAGCCATGGAAACTTGGAGGGTCAGGACCTCACTCGAGGTTGAAGTGGATGAGAGTGGCCACCAGTATGGGCAGTAATAGCATGGCCAACATGGTCCATGTTGCGGTGCAGTTCGCGTTGGTTCGAGGCCTGGTCAAGCGGCTGGTAGCGAGGCGGTTGGAGGAGGAGGAGGAGGCTCACATGGGGGCACGATGGGGTAGAAGTTCAGTGACAGTGGATCTGAAGGAGGGTTTTGGCTCATGATCCCTGTTGATTGACGGACATAGTGACGGCGAGTCAACCGCTAGTTTTCATAAACGGCGACTAGCCGTGTTTGGCAGGGCCGAGACAGATGGAAAGAAAAAGGTCGGACGATTACGCGCTGGGGGGGCGCTGTTCTGAAGAGGCGAGCGTGTTTCATAGAGCATTAGGAGATTCCATAGTAAGCAATTCTGACAACGGCAGCGGACTGCAGACTTCCTAGTCGAACAGTGTCGACGGAGTGGAGGACGGGAAGCCTGGCGAGAGTTGAAAGGTTGCGGTTTGCTCGCTGAACTCTGGACGCTTTGAGCAACGATTTCGCATACGGGCCCTGTTTTCTCCCGGGGGTCAGCGCTGTCCCATTCGTCTGTTTCCCAGGATAGTCCCATCTCTTCTCGGCCCAAAGGGGGTCACAGACTCGACGAGGTGATACAGACGCCAAGAACAAAAGCACCAAAGCGCGCATACGACAGCCAGAAGCGGTGCCGCGGCGAGACGGGCGAGGTGAGCCGGCTCTCACGCTCTCACACACTCTCATCACTCTCATTCTCTGGAGTCTCCCAGTCTCGCTCTTGGTTTCTCTCTTCGCCTCCTTACCCCCCTCCCCTACCATCACCCTTCTCCTTTCGTCCCATTCCTGAGGCCTTGACGTTGACAGGCGCAAGCGTGGGCTCTTCCCGACGCGGGTAGGAAGCAGAGAACGTGGGAACTCGTCTGGTGTATTGCCCCTATCCTGAGACTCGCGCTCGGAGACCGGCCGAAGGCTGGTCGCCATTGTAGCCCAAAAGGAGCCACGGACGCGCGACGGGACGGGTAATCCGTCAGATCCAACCCAGATCGTGGCGTCCACGCTAGTCCGACGGACGAGAAGATGGGGGAACAATTTGTTCAGCTGAGCCTCATTTTCGCTTGGTTCATGGTGATCAGCGCTACTGACAGGTAAGACGAGCGAAGTTCGGGAGATCAACTTCGACTCGACTTGCTTGGTATGTAGCCAAGACCACTTAGCTCCAGTAAAGAGCGTGGAGAGAGAGTTGGAGTGCAGTGCATCGAGCAGAGGAGCCCTACCGATAGTGAACTCTGTTCTTGGTGAGTCTGGGGAGCAATCTATCTTCTCCCACCGGCATCCCCGTATGCCAGTTAAGGTACAATTTAGCGGACGGGTACCTGAAGGCTTGCGAGCGTGCCTTGCATGGCACGCATGGGAAGTGTGGGAAGGGGACATGGAAAACTCCGTACACTGCATTTCTCTCGCGTGCTTCGGGGTGCCGCACCGGCAAGCAGCGCGCTCTTCTGTCCGCCAGTCCAAGTCCAGAACTTTTCTCCTGCTCTCACGCTCTGTGTCTCTTCTCTTCCGGCGAGCGGTTCCGCGTAGATTGCCAACCGCTGGCACCACTACCCTAAAAATTCTCCGTAACGGAAAGGAGACGCGCGAGATCCACAAGATTGCTGCAAGGAGTCGTCCCATCCCTGCTGGCGCCTGGGATCATAAGACCAGGATCTACCCTTCACGTTTCACCCCTGGCCCACATCTGGAAGCCAAGAGCAGGTGTCATTCGATCACCAGCAGCCTCAAGTGGGTGGGCTGCGTCGAGCGTGAAGGGAGGAGACTGGTCACTGGAGGTGGAGGGGGGGATGGACTCAAAAGAAGGGACGTTTCGAGACGAATCTGAAGCAACGACATCGAGCCATGAGAGAGTAAAAGGGGATAGCTCGGCATTTTACTCTGAGCCTGTTCTGTGTCGTCACTCGTCACTCGCCAACCCTCTGGCTTCTGATATCCACAACCTCTGGTCTCGCGACCGGGCCCCTAGCCTCCGGGGGGTGAAATAAATCATAATGGGATTTCAGATGGGATTAATCTCGCCTCGCGCTGCCCTCCGCAACCGTAAAACCTTAGTGCTCGTCTCTGGTCTCTCAAATAGCCCGTGTTTGCCCATATTACTAACCTATCACCTGTAATGTCCGCTGCCCCTCCGCCGCCTCCCGCCAGGAACAACTCCTGTTCGACCCGCCTGCAACCTTATGCGACTAGTCAATAATTGATAATGTTAAACAGTGGCATCCTCGGCGGGAAGCGATGCATCAACCTCGCAGATTACCTTTTTTTACTTGCATGCAACAGCCCCGATGTAATCGTTGTCGCATCAACCTCATCAGTGTTTGACAGTTTTCATTACGAGACTCCCTTGTTCTTGTCCTTCTCCTTCCAGGCTTGGTCAGCGTCGGGATGAACCGACGGGCTCGCAATATGCTTCCGAGCCTCCTCTTTTTGCTTATAATCTGAGTTGAACCTTTTGTCTCGGTCGCCAACGTACTTGGCAAAGTCCAATTGGCCGGTCTGGGTGAAGCTTGTCATGAGTTGCGGTTCGCCCAAGGGCAGCTGGTGGCCTTTGTCGACCTGCCAGAGGTGGAACACTTTTCCATAGAGCTGGACGACTTGCTCCATCTCCTTATTCTCTGCCGCTTGCCAAGCCAAGTCCGGCAGCTTTCCCTGTGGCATGATGAGCATGCCTGACTTGACCTCATACACATGACTGTGCCAGAGCTTTCGCTCCTCCGAGTCCAAGGTTTCGTAGAGCTTCGGTGTGATCATGTACTCGATGCCTATGATGCGTGCATTCTTCGCGGGGCTATCGTAGAGTATGCATTGACGGACGTCTTCGTTCAAGTGCCCGCAGTAATGGTTTGCCTCCACCACACGTGTAGGGTCAGAGGCATATGCGTGGAAGGCGTTGAGATGAGCGCAGACATTGCTTAATGGTGCAAAATCCTGTCTTCGTGTCAGAAATAGTGATACGATGTTGGTTCTTCGTGAGAGAGGGAGAACTTGCCTGTACTACTGAAGCGCCAGCGCTGAGCACTTGGTTCTTGGTGCTGATGGGATCTCCGGCATTTGTGTCCGGCTTGGTAGCCATGGTGGTCGATAAGCGAGATTGCAGTGATGCTCTGGGCAGACACACCTGCTCGATTCGCTCAAGACGTGGGTACTTGGGCTTGACGTTTGAAGATTGAATGAGAGTTGGTTGCTTAGTTCGAAAACCTACTGATCGTATCGTGCTTTTTTCTCTTCACTCCTTCGTGAAGGTTGGGGGAAATTCACTCGCTTCGCTCGCTCTGACAAAGCCTAGATGATCCCCCTCCTGACGTCATCAATGCGGTTCCCGCACTCTTCGGCCGCGATTTCATCATGATTGCAGCATCGAAGAATCAGATGGAAACACCAACGGCAGCTCAGGAAGGGAGAACCTGCGAGGGCGGGTAGCTGCACAGTCGAGGAGGGGGAAAGAGGAGGGCGGAGCATCGTCTCCTGCCCGTTCTCCTCGGCGTTCATCTGCGGCAGACGGAGGTCGCCCCGCTTTCCCGGAGCAGTTTCCCGGCGCGGGTCTTCCCGCCCGAGCCTTGGCGTATGCTGCCGGACTCCGATCGGTCGGCGCCGAGGAGGGGCAGGGTGTGTCGGCCGGTAGAGCGGAACAATGCCCTGTGCTCAGATTCGCGTCGGTGATCGACCTTTCCGACTCACGTCGCAGTCAATCATCTCCACCAAAAGTTTGAAACGAATGCTGGCCTGACTGGTCTTTGAAATGGTACGAGGGAACCGCGTAAGCACCGGTTTGCGCAATCGTCGTTTCGAAAAGCTAGAGATTGTAACCAGATAAGATAGTGTGCTTGTCGCAGCTTTAAATGGAATTTGCATTCTTCCGAATGTGATTTGCTTTGCTTTTCTTTCGTTCGGCCAACGACCACATGTATCATTTACTAAGGTAGTAGATCTTGTGATCTAGCAAGACAAGGTGAAATCAGTGTCATCTCCAATCACAATTCAATCATTTGGGAAATTGCCATGCACAAAGCATTAGACTACAAACAGTCATTCCATATGGTCGCAAAAAACGATCAACGATTCAATTACAAACAGATTTCACAGTACATTGGTACTTTGTAACCTTCTCGCAGAAACATCCACCCACACTGCTTCAGAGCCTATCAAGCAAGCTGCCCTCCAGCAACTACTTGACATGATACCTGCTGCCTCGGCCTTGAAAAGACTAAACGCAGAAGATGCAGCCACAGCTAAAGTCGAAGCTACAGTCGCGCTTATGGACATCGGGATACGCAGCTACGATAGCGTCGACATAGTCCTTGCTGAGCTTGATTGAAGTTGTCTGTCCTTCGGGGTTGGGTGCAGCCAGGGCAAGAGACGCCAAAGCAACGGCGACGGTGGCGATGAACTTCATTTCGGATAGAGCCGAGCAGTTGCGTGAAGCTGAACTTGTTAGAACAACTCTAATCAACGCCATTTTTATGTGACGTGATTGAAACTCTCAAAGGAATCGTTTGAGATGCACACAACTCAAAATCGAAAGGACATACATTAGTGAAGTGGCGTGAACACTGTAACTCAGTGCACTAGATTATTCGAAGATGATGGTGGTCAGAGGGGATGGAATTATGCTTTCGAAAACGACGAATCTGCACCGCTTTATACGCAACTGTATTGATACTGCTCTTGCTCTAGGCCATTTGTGTCATTTCTACGAGGGAGGTCTCATAATCCCGGCCACGAGGTACTTCATTCTCATTTCTGCCGGTCAATTATGTGCATATTTGAATCCTTCAAACGAACAAGATTCCACGAATCTGGAGACTCGCACTATGCCGCTAGGACGCGCCTTCTCTGAGGACTAGCTGCGGTCGTGTGGTCATCACCTTCGATGATACATGATACTTGATGAATACGGTCACTTAAGTTTCGACGGTACCTAGGTTGAGGTGATCAAGGCATCGGGAAATCTTTCAACATAGGCTCTAAGTCATCACTTCGACAGTGCCTTTTCAACCGACATCTTATAGGCTCGTACGTCCTAATGCAGTAAGCCTGCATGAAGCCCGCTTACCCATACCACCCCGTGAGCCGCCAAGACTATCACAGGAACTTTATGGAAGGATTAAGGAGAATATTGACTGCTTATTCGTGGGATTGTGAAAGTGACAGTACCGTAGGATCTGATGTTGCGACGACTTCATGATTGATCCTAAAGCCGTTCGGTAAACGTTCTGTAATTAGTAAGGTACATCTCGGTCAACGAGTGAGGAGGACCGCAGTTCCCCATTGTTGATATTCGAAGGATTCGACGAGACATCATATTTTCATGCGAGGTTTGTTGATGGAAGCCAACGAGTCAGGCCGGATTTTTCTGTGCTTTGCCGTCTCTCAAAGTCTCTCGGTATTATGTGCAATTATTACCAAGGTAACATGAACAATTACCTCAACTCCACAAGCCCTGAAGATACTAATGTGACCACGACACTTCTGTGGCCCGAGAATGGGAACATACTGTTCCTTGTGATTGTATATGAGAATCTTCGGGGGCTCGGTGGTCAAAAAATCTGGTGTGCCGAGGAACAGTCCATTCCCACAACAGCTTGCACGATCAAGGCAGTGTTCACAAGCCGCTACTTCACTCGGCGAAACCTGTAATGCCAATTATAAATCTGATTTCTTCTCACAGTGTTATGTAGAAATTCTATGTGCGCACGGTAGTAGACTGCAAACAGGTTGTAGTAATTCTATCACTCGATCTTGTGCGACTATGGGTGCCATCACCCTGTTATCTGCGAGATAATTAGTGTTGACAAGTGGATCGGCGATATGCCTCAACATCTTCACACCCCATGATCTCAGACATCTTGAGTGATACACTTGTATTAACTAATGCTGCTATGTATGTTCAGTATGTAGAGCTGACGCATAAAGTAGGTGGGTGAGTGGAAGGCTTGAGCTCTTTTGGATTTCAACAGGCGACGCATTCGAGAACCGAAGGCAAGGCTTCAACACAAAAGCGCATGTTGTTCCCACCCTATTGGATACATTTACCTCCGTATACATAGGCAAAGTTATGAGAGGCATTTGCTGACGCCAAATTGAGATACTCCATGCGTTCCAATCGAGATAGAACTACTCAAGTATCAATTAATAAGTACCAACTGAACTCGTCATGTTCCTCTGTGTAAGGTTAGACCATCTCGCACCAGAAGCAGATTTTCTGCTGGCAGAGCTCAACGTTCTTACTTTTGGCTCCTCTCACCGCACCATTTACTAGCTCATCATTGATTCGCGGCGGGACTTGTGATAGCGCACTCAGCTATGATCTACTTTTTGAATAATACTTTTGTTTACGAAGCTGAAAGTTAGGTGCTCTATTACTGGCCCTCTGTACGAACATCAGCCGTTGGCGCTCTCCTCGTCAGGTGTTGCCAATAGCCCTTTGATACATGACTCGCCAACCCTGACTCTCCGCATCGACAATTTCTGAGCTGTGGCCCGCACTCGTGGGTTCTTTATCTCAATGATCCCCCAAGATAAGGCCCCTTTCTTCACAGAGAACAAAAAGAAACCATCATATGGATATAGAGTTCAGCTGGGAAGTTTGCAGCGTGGGCATCGGAAATCTTTCCGACCATCCGCAGCCACTCAGCATATCAGGGTTGTCAGCCCCCTCGTGCCCTGGGAAATGTCTCGCAAACCCCTCATCTCCGCCCCGGTGCCATTTATGACATTTATGACATGCTCAATTCACCGTCCGCCCTAGGCTTATCCTGCGGAGGTCTCCACCCCGCAAATAAACCACCGAACAACACCGCGTACGTGAGACGTCAGTCGCTCGCCAACAGAGTCATTTCGAACGATTCAAGCCCTGCCACCAGGTCTTCCAGAAGGTCTCGCACCCCCCTCTTTCTGAATTCGTCCGCCTGCAGAGAGGGTGTGGTCGATCTACACAGATGAAAGGAAACAAACCGTTGGCAGCCGGATGAAGTGAGTCGCCCCAACGTCGCGGGCCCCTTTTTTGCAGACGCGAGAAAGGAAAGGGTAAGCTTACTTACTCGGCGCTGCGTGTGGCCGAGAAGAGAACCCAACTTTGAGATCCGACAAACATCCCCCCCCAGTGCCTCGAGCAGGTCCCTTCCCAACACGGCCATGTCCCAGAAACCAACAAGCTTCGCTTGTGACCGGTGCAGGGCGGGGAAGCGAAAAGTAGGTCGTCCGCGCTTGAAGAAGAACTTTCCCAAAGTTTTGCTCCATTTCTAGACTCCATTCTAGACCCCACGGGGAAGGACCAACTTCCCCGAACTCCCTTGCTAGTCTCCTAGTCCTTTCGTGAACTGCCGTGACTAACGACTTTCTCCCGTCGGCAGTGCGATGCTGCCCGTCCTGCATGCTCCTTGTGCAGCAGGCAGAACAGGGAATGTGTTTACACTGAGCAACGCCCCAGAAAGTGTGTCACCTACTAGTTACTTATGGTTCACGTCAACTATAAACAATGCTAAGTAGCCACCGAACTATGTCGCTAACGTAATCATCCAGGCGGAAATACTGGGATGAGGACTACGTCAGAGCCCTCGAGGCTCAAGTACAATCGCTGCTCTTGGCCCTAGAGAAGCAAAGCGTTGAGAAAGAGCCCTCCCCGGCACTGTCTCTGAGTGATCGCGCATCTCAGTCTGCAGAGCCCGATGCAACCCTCCGAGAAAGTCTCGATGGAGGTGACGCCACCGAAGGTCTCGCAGTCGGCGGGGATGACGAGGAGACCAAGGACGTTGTCTCTATAGAAGACCATGGAGGCAGTGCGAGTAAGGACTCAGGGACACAGGAGAGGTCTCAGATGGCAATGGAAGAATTGTGTGTAATGCTTTGGAGAACGAATGTCGGTGATGGGGTAACCATCATCGACGACCCTGCCACTGGGTCTCACTATGCAGTCGATCCCGTACGGCCAGCTGTACCCATGGCCCATCAAGTCATCCCTCCAGAACAGGTGCTCGTTTACTGTCGACAAAAGGGCCTCATCCACGAGATGGCGGATCTGTTCTTGGATAACATCAACCAAGAACATCAGTTCACGCCGTACACGACAACCGACTTCCTGCACAACTACCCTTACCAAACCCCAGATGAAGCCTTCTTACACAGTGCCATCATCGCTACAGGCACAACCTTTACACGACGACCAGATGCTACCCTCATAGGAGATGCATTCGCGCAGTTCGCAGAAAGCCTCATCTTCACCTGCTGCCGGCAGAATCCCACACTCAAGGTCATCCAGGGGCTGTCAATGATGTCGTGGCGCTCATTGGCTATGGGGAGAGACCACTTTGGTTGGATGTTCATCTCCATGGCCGCCGGCATGTGCGTACATCTGAGACTGCACGTCTTGGCGCTAGACGAGTGCGAAGCCAGGCAGCTAGAGGCTACGGAGCAGGAGATTCGCACTTTTTGGATGTTTTACATCATTGACCGGACAGCCATCTCGATTCTAGGCCGTAACTGCGCATTACCTTGGCGGAGAGTAAACGTACCGGACTTTGAGATGACCTTTGAGAACTCTAAGGCGGGCCTAGGCCAAGTATCTTTTGCATGGCAGTGCAAGTTGTGGTATCTGCATGACCAGTACATGGACCAGGTGTAAGTCCTGCTTCCCCGTCTCCCACACAGATTTCAGAAGATGGACTTTCGTGAGTAACACCGATCTCAGCTTCTCAACAAATTTCGAATCTCTACCCATACCGCAACAAGTCCGCATCCTCGTAGCAAGCCAGGACGCACTCAGCGCCTTCTTCCGCTCCCGCGATGATAGGCTCCATCTGTCGGGAGACTCAACCCCGAAACCAGTTATCCAATTCCACCTAGCCTACCAAATGACAATCCTCATCACCATGCCCCCGTTCCTCCGCATTTTTGCCGCAATCTCACAAACCTCAGAGGCAACCGAGCCCGGGAACACTGCGAACAACAGCAGCAGCAAGAGACAAAACTCGGAATTCATGCTTCTCGTCCTCCGCTCTCTCACCGCAGCAGCAACAGCGACTTCCCGACTCGTTCGGACCTACCGCCGCGCCCACGGCTTCGACATCTCCCCGAACCCGGTCATCATCCACCACCTCCTCAGCGCCGCCATCGTGCACCTAATGAACGCGACCAGCTGGACGCCGGCGCTGCGGCACCAGAGCACCTACTGGCTCCGGCAGTGTCTTGAGCTCCTGCGCGAGCTTCAGGTCTCGTGGCCTGTCCGTGCCGTCAAGAGTATCAAGATCATTCGTGTGCTCGCGCAGCGGTGGGGGGTGATGAGGGCTCTGCCCATCGAGTTCAGTTACCAGATCGAGCAGTCTGCGGCTACAGCGCCCGATGCTCAGAGTGACTTGGGCGCGAATATTACGCAGTCCAGGAGTAGGGACATGGGCGAGGCGGACCTGAGTGGTGTGAACCAGGTTCAGTTCGAGTATGAGTGGGATGGGTACGGCGCTACTGCGGCTGATGCGCCACCCGTGGACTTTAGCACCTTGGACATGAGCTCTTTCGCGTCTCTGGGAACTCTCGATGTTTCTGGTTTGAGCGGTGAGCGGACGAACCCTATGGGTACTGTTGATTTTCTCCAGGCCTTTCAGGGGCTCACGGATTGCGAAGACTTCAATTGGCTTTCGACTAACAATGGGTTATGAACGAATTAAGAGGCGGGGGATTGTCCCGGATATGTTTAGCGTTAGGCTCATGGATGCAATGTATTGGTACTACAAAACACCTATACCCTCGTATGGTTCGGAAGGTTTTTGTTGCAATCTTGGTGTTATGCAGCGATTGAATGATCAGGAAATCTCGGGCGAAGCGATGGTAGTTTATGGATGAAAAGTTTGATTTGCTAGAATGACAAGAAAATGGCAATTATGAAATAGGTATCTAGAGAACAAGCACAGCCTCCTCCTCTTCCTCCTTCGGCACCTTCGCAACACTACCATCCGCCCTGACCAGGATCTTAATCTCCTTATCCACATTAAGCCTCAAAAGATCCGGTCTGCTGTAGTGGCCGGTGCAATCCGCGAACATCTTTGTCCTGTGGATGGCGTCAAAGTCCAATTCGCCGTAGATGATGGTCTCCGTGTTCTCATCGACAGGCTCCGATAGCCTCCGGCCGTCCGGGCCGAAGATGGCAGAGGTTCCACCGCCAGGGGTGGACATGATGGCGCCGCCCGCACTGCTGTGCGCCGCGATGCCCTTTTCGGAGATGAGCGCCGTGCTGTGGAGAACAAAGGCGTTTGACTCAATAGCGTATGTGCGGGAGAGGTTGTGGCATCCTAATCATCTAGGTTAGTTCAAGTTCATCAAGACGCCGGAATTTCGGAATGTGACATTCCGCCCGGAACGGCATTTGTGGTGACATACCTTCTGCGCTCATCGACCACATGTCCGGGCCACCGCCGGAATGAGGCGTGACGCTGGGCCATGCCGAGACATGGATTTCTTCCTTTTGGGCAATCGTGTTATACTTCAAAAGGGGCTGGATGTGCTCCCAGCACGCCAGAGAACCGACTCGCGCAAAGGGCAGCTCAGCCACGCTCTTCAAGCAGTGGCCCGACGCGTCGCCAAAGATGGTCCGCTCCATGTGCGTGGGCTTCATCTTGCGGCGGTGCACCTTGATCTCGCCGTCCTGGCCGATGAGGGCCTGCGCGATAAAGAGCGAGTGGTTGTCGTTCTCTGAAAAGCCGAGTGAGACGGCAATGTTGTTCTCCTTTGCGCAGGCCTGGATGGTGGCCATCTCGGGCGAGTCGAGCTGAAGCGAGTTCTTGATGTACTTTACGTTGAGATCAAAGTCGATGAGGCGGGTCCATATCCACACGGGGTAACCGGGGATCCAGCACTCAGGGAAGGCGATGAGCTGAGCCCCATTGGAAGCGGCCTCTGCGATGAGCTTGCATGTCTTTGCGACGGCGGCTGGGAGGTCGATCCAGGCGGGCTCAGCCTGGGTGACGGCCACCTTGACAACTTTGCTTGTGTTGGTCATTGTTGTTGTTGATGTTGTTGTTGCTGCGGGGGTGGAGTTGGTGATACGTAATGCAAGGTTTGAGAGCAAAGACATGTGAAGAGGAGATGCAACTGCAGGTGAAAAGTAAGAAGTTGACGAGCTCGTCTGATTTCGGACGACGCTTCGAAGGCTTCCTTTTATATATCTCTTGGATGGCGCTGCTGGCTGACCGGATATGGGCGCGGCATGTAATAGCTGCAATACTACAGGGTGGTTCGTTACCTGATGAAGATAGCGCCAAGATATGTCTCCCTACAAGTTCGTCTTTCTCCATGCAACTCAGACCCAATGATAAGGAAAATGCGGGGTTAGAGTTCTGCTAATCTCCATAGTCTTCTTGATAGCAAGGACATCGTTTCACAATGCGACTGTCATAGGGGGGGTAATGAGAGATCTTGAATTCCGCTAAGCCTCCGTTGGCTGCGCGGTAGTCAGCCAGGAGCGGAATGCAGACCTCCGCAGTGATACTCTGTCAGCAATGTCCAGAGGCACACGACTCGAACAAGGATGTCAATAGTGCATTGTTATAGTGCGAATCATCTTGGATATCAGAGCTATCGGCAGACTTGTTACGAAATGATACTACGAAGGAGCGAAAGGAGCAAGTCAGAATCGATGCTCGTATCAGGGGCCGGAATCATTTTATGGATGTGGAGGAAATCCATATCCCGATGAGCCCCGTCCTACCGGGCGTAACCAAGATATGCCAGGTTTCAACCAGCCTGCCATTCAGCTCAACTCCACTTCAACGCGTTCGCTTCATTCCCCTATCACTCCGGGATTTGACTAACCGGCCCATTTCGATCCAACCTCACCAGCTCAATAAGCGCCGCCTTCCCAGGGCCGATCATGTCGAGTCCCTTGAGACCCTTCGGAATGCAACTCAAGCCAATCGCAATACCCAACCCACTTCTTCTCCGTTATCTCGCGTAGATCGAATCCCTCCTGACCGGCGTCGACGGAATATCCGTTGACACTCAAATAGCTTCCGAACTTCTTGCCCTCCACCCACCCCTCCTTCTTCGGTCTCCACACCTTTGTCATGCTCTTCTCGCCCGCCGTCGCCGTAGCCACCGGCCCGCCTTTGCTACGGGCCTCCTTCTCCTCCGACCCGGAGTCGGTCCCAGCGCCGACTCCTAGAACCGTTAGATCTACGTCCACCACCTCGCCCTTCCCCATAAAAGTGAAGCAACGCATGCCGCAACCTTTGCAAAAGAGAAAGTGCAGGTCTTTCTCATAGACCGTATAGTCGCCCAAGTCGTTGCACGGGTCGAGGGGCTTAAGGAGAAGAAAGTCATCAGGGGCCGAGGCGAGGCGCATGTGAAAGATTCCGGCTTTGTGGCAGGTGGTGCAGTTGCATCTGTAGAAGTCTTGATGCGTTCGCGGTTCGGCCCTGGGGACACGCGCCGGAGGTAGTGTGTGAGGAAACGAGAGGAAGACGATGTATTGCGTCGCACCGCAATGGCATGAGCCTTTGTAGGGTCGTCTAACAGGCTGTCCATCCATTGTAGAGACCGTTGATCTGTTCGATATGGTTATCGATGAAGACAGCTGAAGATGCAATCTGGTCAGAGTGCTTCTCTTTGAAGTGCGAGATGATTTGGAGCGGGGAACCTGGTACAGGTGCGCCCTTGTAGAAACATGGAGACATTCGCCCAATTGGCGCGCTATCGCTGATCCCTAGCCACATACCGGACACATTCAGACCCATTTGCGACTGGTGTTGCGCCAGCACAACAATTGCTTAGCCAAATGGCGTGTAAGTGATTGGATACAGCTACAACCTATCACGCTGAGAGTCCATATTGGCTGATTGCTATAAGACGGAATCCCCGAATATCCCCTTGTTCATTCTGAGTCCCCATGGTCAGGCCTATCAGCCCATCATGCGATTGAGAGTATCGATGTGGGACTATGATTTCAGCATGTATCTACCAACTTTCTACCCGCTGCCTAGCCAACCCACCGAGCATTCACCACGGGATCGGCCCATGTCGGTTGGAAAACGTCGCGCTCGCACCATCAGGTCCCAAGGTCGCCAAGTGCACCGCCTGAACCGAACCCAGTGATGCCTCATCAGGCCCCTCGTACGAGTTCATGTTTGTCGCGCAGTAGCCAGGACAACAAATATTGAACTTCCACATCTTGTCGTCCCTGTACCTAGACGCAAAAGTCATCGCAGCGTGATTGAGCGCGGCCTTGCTGGAACCATACTCGATAAAGTCCCTCACCGGACCCAGACTAGGATCCGTCCGAATCGCAAGACTCCCCAGTCCCGAGCTGACGAAAACGATGCGCTTCACTTTGGAAGACTCGCGCAGGAGTGGGATGAAAGCGTCTGTGACGGCGATGGAACCAAAGACGTTGGTGTTGTAGACCGTCGCGAGCTTCAGCCGGATCGAGTCTTCGGGCTTGCCCAAGAGGATTCCAGCATTGTTGATGAGGACGTCGAGATGGCCGAAATTTGTGCGGATTGTGTCGACGGCCAATTTAATGCTGTCATCGGATGTGATATCTAGGACTAAAGGCTCGACATTCAAACCGGCTTCCTGGAGCCCCGAAGCTGCCTTCTCAATGGCTTCCTTCCGTCGCCCCGTCATGAAGACGTGGTAATCAGGATGTTCCGATGCCAGTCGCTTGGCAATCTCGTAGCCTATGCCCTGGTTGGCACCCGTCACCAGAGCTACAGTTGGGTCTGCGGACTCTTTGGACATCTTGAGATCTGCTTCTATTCCTCAACTCTAACCTTTAGGTTTTGAATATCGAAGAAGAATGCCGTCAGCCAGTTTAGTTCCAATGTCTGTCAAATGATAGTGTAAACGGTTGATCTTCAGTGAATGAAAGTGCTACCAAGTTGCCTATAAAAACTTGACAGGCGAAGTCATGAGCCAGACAGGTGTATGCCAGGCCATGAACAACAACCGAGACTGAGACCAGAGCCAGATCAACCTGCTAGCAAAGCTTCTAAGAAAATTGATGTAGAGAAAGTCTATTGAACCTTGCCCGATACCGAAACAATCCTTCGCCCAATGTAGATGCTAATCATGCTGATGCATCTAAGATTCCACGCAGGCCTTCCCCAGCATGAGCTTTCGTCTCAACTTGATCAACTTGGCACGGCCCGTATCCGGAGTCCGGAAATGCTGGGAACTGAGAATGTTTGTCGGTGATCTGAAACCGAGTGCCACGGATATTCGCGCTTTATGCTGGAAGCCGACCATCATTACTAATGGAAGTGCAAAGAATAACAAAGCTATTACCAGAAAGGCCTGATGTTGTCAAAGAGACAAGACCAAAAGGGGGCTGGGATTTCTTGCATGATTTAGAGTGTGGGCACACGATTTGTGTCGGGCTTGTCTAAAATTTAGCAAAGTGTCCACTCTATCACAGCTTAACATACGAAAACGTCGAGCACACAGAAGAACAAGGCGTATCTGTCGAATGGTGATCAAAAGCAAAATAATTAGGCCCTAACCAGGATTCGAACCTGGGACCTCTCCCAGATGTGTCGGGAAGACCCTAAGGGAGAATCATACCGCTAGACCATCAGGGCTGATTATTAAGCGACATGCTTTGTTGGAAGCGGACGACCTGTAGTTACTGATGAAAGACAATATGACCCGGCCACGCAAAAACGGCGGAGGATCGCGGTTCCTCGCCCGTTCCCTGGTGTCTATTGCTGCTGCTCCCCAACCGCTCATGTTGACACCCTCAGTGGCTGTTTGCAACACGGGTGTGGTTGTTCCATGGCATAACGTTCACTGGCAAATCGGCTGGACTTCATTCATCATTCAGGTTCAAGCCAGCCATATTCTGAAAACCTTTTGGCAAGAGAAACTCGCAATTGCTAAACTGTGCGTGCGTGATGTGACGATGAATACTATAGTTCGAGCCCCACTCTTACTTATTTGATGTAGTCTTTGTTGAGGACATACTTGGACTTATCGTAGCTCTTGGGCCAAACGCCGCTCTTTCCAGGTGCCAGAATGCCATTCGGGTCCAACGCATCCTTGATGGTCTGATTCAACTTGCCGAGCGCATGATTGTTGAAGTCGTACGTATCCGCGATCTGATCCATGAGAGCCACGTGAGTCCGAAACTCGCCCCAGCCGTTGTCAGCGCAATCCTGGATCATGGTACGGACGAGCCACTGCGCACGGCGACGCATGTCAGGATCCTCCCTGTTATAAACGATGCACACAATGTTGTCTGTACAACCTCGCGTCAGCAATCTTCTTCAACGCCTCGTAATGGCAGAACGACGAGCTGGGTGATGGATGACTTACGCATCTCACGCATGCCAATGCTGAGAATACCAAAGTAGTCCAACTTCGCCTCCGCGAAGCGTTTCTTAGCCATCGTGTACTGCTTCATGGCAGACTTGCCATCAACCTTGGAGATTGGCGAGAAAGACAAGAATGTGCAGTGAGGGATCCACCTGAGTAAACTGGTCAAAGCTGTAACCTTGAATTGGGGCGTTTGGGCACTTACTGGTTGAGCCACCTGAGCTCATCCCATGTCGGCAAGCCTCGCATTGTGTCAGCACGGCAGTGCAAGGTGCTGTGCTCTTCTTTGCGATCCTCAAGCAGGAACCATCGGCTTCCGGGAACCTTGGTCATCTCTCGCTTAGTGATTTCGAGATGGGCTTTGCGGATCGGCTCGGGTCCGTAGGCCGCACCAATGTAAACCCAGCGGCCAAGGTCGACCTTCTTCGCCGCAGCATCTAGTTGCTCTTCCGTGAGCGGGGTATTGGGATCATCAGTGTATGCTGTGCGGGGGTGGTAATGCGACGCATCGAGCGAGATGTGACGAAGACTGGCAGCATTCTGGAGAACCATGTTCTGTAGAGTTTTTGTGAGCTGCGTTACTCATCAAGTCTCAGAGCAGCAACTTACAACACGAAGCGGACGAATAATATCGACGACGGCCTCAAGATCTTCATCCTTCTCATATGTTACCATGAAGGGGGTAATTCCAGGGGGTGCGGGCATGAGCTACATGTATCCATCAGTCAGCTTTGCCTCATCTTGTGACCAACTTGGCCCCCTCTCATGAGTTCCAACTTACCCACATGCCCATCTTCGTGACAATTGCGTTGTTGCTCTGGGAGAAAATCCCGTCGTTGATTGGACCAAATCCATAAGGGAATAGTTGCCAACACTCGTTCTGATGCTGATCCTGAGGCGGTACCCCCTGAGCCGCCTGCTTGCGGCCCTCGGGACTCTGCATCGCACCCATGCCCGTACGAACGACCTCACCGCTGGCCAGCACAACTTCCATTCCACAGTGCATCATCCAGTGATCACCGTAGGGAGTGAAGCCCACGCCATGGTCCAGTGCGTTTCCAATCATGGAGCCGTAGCCGAGCTCCGGTGAGTCCAGCCACACCTTGTCCCGCAGCCCGTTGTCATCAAGATACTTTTGCATCTGTAAATAGGTGACACCGGGCTCAACGAGACAGTAGCAGTCCGTGGCATTGACCTCAATGATGCGGTTCATGTGCTTTCCCAGGTTCATCACCAAGCTTCCGGATACTCTTGGAGCGGCACCGCCGTAGCCGATATTGTGACCTTTGCTGTACGTCCACACAGGAACGAGATACTCGTTGCAGAGCTTGATGACTGCTTGGATGTCTGTCACATTTCGGGGGTGGATGAGCGCGCTGCCAACAAACTCCTCACGCTCATAGAGAGAGTGCATGTCGTGCGTCTGGCAATCGACGGTCTGATAGTCGCCATCATCCAGATGGGTATCTCTGGTGATGATCTGGAGGTTGTCTTTTCCGACGGACTTTTGAAGGCTTGCTGCGAACTCTTGGAACTTCTCCGCGGATACTCCAGGGGGCAGAAACCGAGGAGCTGGCGCCGCACCGTTCGATGCGTGCCCCCCGTTCGCCGACGTGACGCCTGGTGCCATAATATAATAAGTGACCTTGTAACCGTAGTACAGTATTGAAGATTCGAGGAATTATTTCGTGAATTTTGGAGATGGTGTAGTCTTTAATAATGTTGTCATTCGTAACCACACATACAGTTGAGTTCGCGAACCTTCTCCTTGAAGAGGGGGAAGAGTTCATTTATTGACGAGAGCTTCCAGTCTATGACGCCCGTGAGCTGATACTCGCCTGAGCTCTAGAGCTTAGGATGAGCTCTTGCCAATCTTCATACCATGACGGATCTTCGGAAGTTCGGCCTCCATAGATGACCGCGGATCTAGTCCGCGCGGGGCCGTAAGCGCGGAGTAGCACTTGGACTGCTCGATATCAAACATCTACTACATCAAAAGGCCCATTCCTGATGAGAGCGGCTCTCCTGAAATTCCCCAAACTGGCTGCGTGGCATTGGATCAAACTTCCAAGAGTCCGATGGGAACGTCCGTATTATCATCCTCACCTGACTAGTGAAGTGCAGAAAAGGCTCAAGACTACATGTCTCATTGGAAAGGCAATAACAAACTGCCGATGATTGCGGAAGGTGCGGCGAGTTCGTAATCTTGACCAACTCTGC